ACTAATCTTTGGGCTGAAAGTAGTGACGAGTTCAACAGGTATAGTCCAATATAAAAATAATAGTACAGAAATATAGGCATGCTTTCAAGTTCAACAGTTAAGCTCTATACAAGTAAAATAGCTCAATGCTTACTGATATGAGGAATATGACATCTCTATATCTACATGCCAATGTACATACTGTATGTGATACACTTCAGTGGAAACCTCGTATACTCAAATCTCAAAATACTCAATCATTCAGTACTGTATATGGTCAATCCAGCCCAAGGGAGATCCATCCCATATATATTTACACATCGACTGGCAGTCAGTCACTCAGTACTGTATAAGGCCAATCCAGCCCAAGGGTAAATTTGTCCCCAAATGTAAACGACTCGAACATGATCCATGTCCAGGGAAAATTCATCACAATTATATATAAATAAGGCAAGTCCATACCCTGGGAAGTCCATCCCGAATATATATAAATAAGGCAAGTCCATTGTAATGATCCGGGCTGTCATTTTAAAAGTTGTAGCCCCATTCCCCTATTTACGGCACATTCTGTGCTTTATAACTGTTATGTGACTTGTTGGGGTAGTCGGTTCAGGTCCGGTGAAGTTTTGGAATGAATTGGAACACTTAGTTCCAAGGTTTAAAGTTTAAGTTCAAATAGTGACCGAATGTCGACTTATATAAAAACGACCCCGGAATAGATTTTTGATAATTCCAACAACTCCGTATGGTGATTTTGGACTTAGGAGCGTGTCCGAAATTTTATTTGAAAGTCTGTAGTTAAATTAGGCTTGAAATGGCTAAAATAGGAATTTAAGTTTAGAAGTTTGACCGAGGAGTTAACTTTTTGATATTGGGGTCAGAATCTAGTTCCAAAAAATTTTATAGCTCCGTTATGTCATTTATGACTTGTGTGCAAAATTTGAGGTCAATTGGACTTGATTTGATAGGTTCCAGCATCGAATGTAAAAGTTAGAATTTTAAATTTCATTAAGCTTGAATTGGGGTATGATTCATGGTTTTAGCGCTATTTTATAATATTTGAGGTTTCAAATAAGTTCGTATGGTGTTTTAGGTACCCATCGCACATGTTTGAGAACAAAAATGAGATATGGAGTTCAAATGATGGACATTATGCAATGAATCCACAAGAAAGAGGGGAAAGAGTCACATACCAGATATCAGAGCAAGACGGAGATGAAATCTGAGTTATGAGCGAGGTAAATTCCTTAATTCCAATCCTTGATATGTGATCTGTGTGCGTGATTAAAATATTTTTGGCTTTTCTTTCGTTTATTTTGTTTTTGTGTTTTGGATTTTGTGAGAGTTGTTAAGTGTTTGTGTGCGAGTGGGATTGACAGTATGCGAAGGGTTAGGGAGTTATACCTGGACGTTTTGCGGTGGGCAAGTGGTCGCATAACACATTATGCGGTCGCATATGTGTTATGCGATGATTTTAGAGCTGGGTTATTTACCTCCATTCTGCAATACATTTTACGGTCGCATAATTGCTATGCAGACCGCAGAACTTGAACCCTTACCGCAATTTGCAGAACCAAATTCTCTGACCGTGTCTGTGACCACTATGCGGTTCGCAAAGTCATTATGCGACCGCATAGTTACCGCAAACCACTGATTTACTTTTTTTTTCTTCAATTGCCTTAGTCCTTGCACCCTGTTTCATAGTATATTGGGCAACTTGCACTCTAATACACACGTCAATCTGTTCAACACTAACAACTAAAAAAAAATGTTACCCCACATGGGTTGCCTCCCAAGAAGCGCTTGATTTAACGTCGCGGCATGACGATATTGGTCCCTTTTGGGCTACTCAGTGGTGGGGGTTGGGCTATCATTGAGAGCAAATTGCTCTACCAAGTGCTTGTTTTCTGTTGTGCCCAGGTAATGCTTAACCCGTTGGCCATTTAGTTTGAAAGTTCGAAGTCCGTCCTCTGACTCTAATTCAATAGCACAGTAAGGGGACACATTCACAATTTTGAACGGGCCAGACCATTTGGATTTGAGTTTGCCCAGAAATAACTTGAGTCTCGAGTTATAGAGCAAGACCAAGTCACCAGATTTGAATTCCCGCTTCAAGATCTTCTTGTCATGAACAAACTTCATTTGTTCCTAATACATGGCTGCACTCTCATAGGCATGGAGACAGAATTCTTCCATTTCGTTGAGTTGTGTTATTCTCATATTAGCAGCTTCAGCCCAGTCAAGATTCAACCTTTTCAGAGCCCACATGGCTTTGTGTTCAAGCTCCATGGGAAAATGACACGCCTTACCAAAGACTAATCGGTACGGTGAGGTGCCAATAGGAGTCTTAAATGCTGTGCGATATGCCCACAATGCATCATCTAGCTTCCTTGACTAGTCAATCCTGTTTGTATTGACAGTTTTTGCTAGGATGTTTTTAATCTCCCTGTTGGAAACTTCAACTCGACCACTCGACTGAGGATGATAAGGCGTGGCCACCTTGTTCTTTACACCATACTGTTCGAGCAGCCCGGTGAAAGCCTTGTTGTAGAAATGAGAACCACCATCACTAAGGATGGCCCGGGGACTACCAAACCACGTGAATATGTTCTTCCTTAAGAATGCGGTCACACTCCTTGCCTCATTGTTGGGAAAGGTGATTGCCTCAACCCACTTGGAGACACAGTTCACGCCCACTAAGATATATTTCATGCCATAAGAACTCACAAAGGGACCCATGAAATCAATCCCCCACACATCAAAGATCTCGACCTCCATTACAAAATTCATAGGCATCTTATGCCTTTTAGAGATTGATCCTTGCCTTTGACATTGATCACAAGCCTTGACCATTTGATTCGCGTCATGGTAGATCGATGGCCAATAGTAGACACATTAAAGCACTTTTGTGGCCGTCTGATTTCCTCCATGATGACCCCAAACCGGGGAGTCATGGCATGCCTTGAGAATTGGCATTACCTCATCTTCCATAACACATTGCCGAATGATGTTGTCGGTACAAATACAAAACAATAAGGGCTCATCCCAATAGTATTGCCTACACTCCCGCAAGAACTTTTTCTTTTGATATGTTTCCAATCCATCGGGGACAAGGTCGCTAACCAAATAGTTAGCAATATCAGCATACCAAGGAGCAAATGTGTCAGACAATTCCAATATGTGCTCATCTGGAAAAGCATCATTGATGTCAAAGTTCTCTTTTGGCCTCCCTGCTTCTTCAAGCCTAGATAAGTGATCCGCAACTTGGTTTTCTGTCCCTTTTTGATCCTTGACTTCAAATTCAAACTCTTGCAACAAAAGGACCCATCGAATCAATCTTGGCTTGGCATCCTTCTTCACGATAAGATAGCAAAGAGCAGCATGATCAGTGTAGACTATCACCTTGGATCCTAACAAATAGGCCCGAAATTTTTCAAAAGCATAGACAATGGCAAGAAGTTCTTGCTCGGTCACAGTATAATTCATTTGATCACTATTGAGTGTCTTGCTTGCATAGCAGATAGGATGAAGGACTTTGTTATGCCGTTGACCAAGCACCGCCCCAATAGCTACACCACTAGCGTCACACATGAGTTCAAATGGAAGAGACCAATCCAGTATGACAATAATAGGTGTCGTGGTGAGCTTTTATTTCAATTCCTTAAATGCTTTGAGACACTTTTCATCAAATATGAACGTAGCATCTTTTTCAAGGAGCTTGCACACGGGGTTTGCAATTTTTGAGAAGTCCTTGATAAAATGCCTAGAGAAGCCGGAGTGCCCCAAAAAACTTTGGACACCCTTTACTGAAGTGGGTGGAGAAAGCTTAGAAATGATTTCAATCTTTGCTCGGTCAGCCTCTATGCCTTGTTTGGAAATTTTGTGGCCCAAAATAATGCCCTCATCCACCACGAAGTGGCACTTTTCCCAGTTTAGTAGAAGGTTTGTTTCTTCACATCTTTTGATCACTTGTCTAAGGTTGTCAAGACAATGCCCAAAGGAATCACCCACTACATAGAAGTCATCCATAAACACCTCTAGGAAATCTTCCACAATGTCCGAGAAAATTGACATCATGCACCGTTGGAAGTAGCCGGAGCGTTGCATAGCCCAAATGGCATCCGGCTAAAAGCAAAAGTCCTATATGGGCATGTGAATGTTGTCTTCTCCTGATCTTCTAATGCAATGTTGATTTGGTTATAGCCGGAATATCCATCCAAGAAGCAATAAAATGACCTTCCCGCTAGCCGATCAAGCATTTGATCAATAAAAGGCATAGGGAAATGGTCTTTGCAAGTGGCACTATTGAGCTTCCGGTAGTCCATGCAAACTCTCCATCCGGTCACAGTCCTTGTTGGGATGAGCTCATTTTTTCTCATTTTGGATCACGGTCATGCCTCCTTTCTTTGGCACACATTGCACCGGGCTCACCCCGACGTCTAGCCACTTGATGATTTCCTTCTTCACCACCTCCTGCATGGACGAGTTTAATCTTCTTTGGTGCTCCACACTAGGTTTGCTTCCTTGCTCTAATTGTATTTTGTGCTCACAAGTTCTGGCAGGAATCCCTCGGATGTCCGCTATTATCCACCCAATGGCTTGTCGATGTTCCCTCAGGACATTCAATAAATGATCTACCTGCACATCATTCAATAAAGAAGAAACGATTACCGGTAAAGTATCATTAGAGCCAAGAAATTTATACCTTAAGTGTGGTGGAAGTGGCTTGAGTTCAAGTTGTGGCGGCTCAATAATTGAAGGCTTTGCGGAGGGAGTGGCTCTATTCTCTAAGTCAAGAGAAAGCTTCTTTGGAGCGTAAGTGTAGGACCCACGTCCTTCTAATGCATTCATCGATTCTACGTACCCCTCCATGTTTTCACCATCAAAATTTACCAATATCGCCGCCAAAGCTTCACCTAGGCATTCTTCTTCCATCTTTATTTTACTTGCGTCCTCTACCTCATCAACAACATGAATGACCGAGATGCCTTCATATGCATGTGGAAACTTCCTACCCTTACTTACTTGGAAGGTGACCTCTTCATCATTAACTCAGAACTTGATTTCATTTCGTTCCGAATCCATAAGTGCTCTTCCAGTAGCAAGGAATGGCCTCCCAAGATGATAGGGATTTCTTTGTCAACGACACAGTCAAGGATCACAAAATTGGCCGAAAGGAGGAACTTTTCCACTTTCACTAGGACATCATCAATAATTCCCACTGGTCTTTTGATTGAACGATCGGCCATTTGCAACCTCATGCTTGTAAGTCTCGGCATGCTTAACCCTGCTTGCTTGTAAATAGCAAGAGGCATCAAGTTAATGCTAGCCTCATTGTCACAAAGAGCTCTTGCAAAATCTCGCAAGCCAATAGTGCATGGAATGGTGAATACTCCCGGGTCTTCTTTATTTTTAATGGTGGTTGTTGCAATAATGGAGCTAACCCGGTGAGTCACATTCACCACTTCATTCTTGGTGGTTCTTTTCTTGGTTATCAAGTCCTTTAAGTATTTAGAAAAACACGGCATCTCTTGAAAGGCTTCCACAAATGGTATGTTCACCGACAATTGCTTGAGAATGTCATAAAATTTCTCGAATTTGCTATCATCAACCCTCCTAGTAAGTCTTTGAGGAAACGGAGGGGAAGGTCTAGGAATTAGTGCTAGATCTTTTGGTGCCTCTTTCACCTTTTCCTTTATCTTTTCATGATTTGCTTCTTGGACTTTCACTTTTTTTGGGAGCTTTTCAACTTCAACAACAATCGGCACTTCAACTTGTGCCTCAAACTCTTGCTCAAGATCATCTACTCCAACAATTTGTTCATTTTCTCCTTGAAGTACCTTCCCGCTTCGTGTGGTAATTGCCATGTAATGAGAAGTTGGACCACTCCCATTACCTTTATGGTTTGCAATTGTGTCACTTGGGAGTGTGCCCTTTAGCTTTGGATTTTGCTCTCTTGACAAATCTCTCATTTGCATTTCTAGCTTTTGTATGGATGCGGTGTGTGACCCCACAAGTTCGGCCATATTTTTCATTGTATTGTCGCCTCTTTCTTGATTTTTCAATATTCTTTCAAGCATGCCCTCCAACTTGGACTCACTTGAAGAACCTTCCTTATAATGAGAGGAGTTAGAGTATTGCCCCTTTGGTGGAACATTGGGGTTTGAACTCTGGTTTGCATAGTTGTTGTTGTTGTTGCTCCAATTACCTTGACTTGATCCACCTTGATCATTGCGCCACTGTTGATGGCCTTGCCTTTTCGGGTTAGGCCTCCATTGATTTTGTTGGCGATAACCACCTTGAGAATTATGGACAAAGTTTGCTTCCTCGCACTCTTGATTCACCATGGGTTGCATATCTTCCACAACATTTACTTTCTTAGTCTGACTTTCCGTGAACATCTTGGTCAACACATTAATGTTGGTGGCAAGCCCAGTAATCACTTGGTCTCTCTCTTGGTTCTCCTTAATCATGTTGGTCATTGAGGGAGTACCGTATGCAATTCCACCCGTGGTATCTTCCAAGTGCCAAGCTTGGTTGTGCTCGGCCATCTTGTCTAGAATCTTTGTAATCCTTGGGAATGTTTTGTCCATGAAAGACCCATCCGCCGCATTTTTGGCTATCGATTGGTTCAATGGATCCAAACCCATGTAAAATTTCCCTAACAAGATTGCATCCGGAAAACCATGATTCAGCGACCTCACTAGGTATAACTTAAAACGGTTCCATGCCTCATGTAAGTGTTCTCCTGGTAGTTATTTGAAGAAGAAGATTTTATCTCTGAGCTCGGACTTCTTGCTTTGTGGGAACCATTTGGCTAAGAAAGCACGGACGAGTTTAGGCCAAAAGTGTATGGAGTGAGGTGGTAGATTTTGGATCCATTTCCTTGCCTCTCCTGCTAGTGAGTACTTGAATACCCTCAGTCTTAGGGTATCATCTGACACGTTGTTCTCTTTGTGCATCATACACACACCCAAGAAGTTTCTAAGATGTTGTGTCGGATCATCATCGGTAGAATTCCTGAAAACCCCTCTACTTTAAGCATTAGGATCAAACCATGTTCCACCTTGAAGGTAGTAGCATCAACTCGCGGAGGGACAATGACATTTGTGTCCTCGATGTACCCATCTATATTCGCAAAAGGATTCTCTTCTTCGTCATACTCTGCCATATTTATCTAGCATACCAAACAAAGCAAGCAAAGTGTGATGGAATAAAAAAAGACGTGAAGTAAAGCACACACTAAATAGTAATTTCAAAATTGTTTTCTCCGGCAACGGCGCCAAAATTTGATACGCTCAAATTACACCTAAATAAATGGTGTAAGGCGGTCGATGTCAAATATAATAACCCAACTAGGTTGGGGTCGAATCCTACAGGGAATAGGTGTAAAACAATTACTTGAATAGTATGAGACTTGACTTATGTCTTAATTCTATAAATGTTAGCTTGAAAATGGTGTAGTAATTACGTGAAGTAAAGAAGACGATTGTATTGTAAGAATGTATTTAATTTGATTAAGAAAACCAAGGTTGTGTCCCCATTGATGGAATGTAATGCTATCGGTGTTAATATAATATATTTCTAATGGAAGATCCTTTGATATGCAAATGGTTTCTAAGTGACTACCCAATATTTTCCAATAGTTGGGTAATATCTTCTCTTTAAGATTTTCCCAAATGTAAAAGAGTTGCGATTGAAAATAACCACTTAATGCCAAATTGAACCCACTTATTCCTAGGCGATTCCATTAAACAAGGGTTAAAGCCTTGAGTTTTTGATATTCAATTCTACCAGACCCTAGCCCACTTTTCCAAGTAAAGATAGAGTGAAATGCAATTAGTTAATGTTTGCAACCACTAACAATACATGAAGCATAAGAACTGAATAAATATCAACCAACTATTATATATATATTCAATGGTAAACACTCATTAACATTACACTCATCTAGGGTCCATAACCTGAGTAATTAAAACTAGCTACTCATACTGAAATCTAAGTACAAAGAGATAAATAAAGTCATAAAGCTTACAAAGATACAAGATTCTTTCTTCAAAAGTCTCCAAAGCAATGGTGCATTCAATGCTCTAAAATTAGTCTCTTTTTCTGACTCCCCATGACCCACAAAACCCTAATAAATCTATTTATAGTGAGCTAAATGTCGGAGCCAAAATTGGACAAAAATAACACTGCAGAGCATTTACGCGACTGCATACTGGTCGCAGATCACGTATGCGGTCCGCATATTCTTCGAAATCATCGCATAATCTCATGTCTCCAAACCTATCTCTTGACAGCATTTCAATTATACGGTCCGCATATCCATTATGCGACCGCATATTCCTCCGTAGAAGTGCTTCTCAGCTTTCTTGATTTCAGTTATGCGATCACTATGCGATCCGCATAATCGTTATGCGACCGTATAATGGATCGTATTTTCTCCTCTTCAGTTAACCAAAAATCTGCTTCAGTCTGCGATGGTTATGCGGTTCGCATATACTTTATGCGACCGCATACTTGCATCATTTCTGCCCTTTTGTGGCTTTTTGACTTTTTTCCATATTTTTGGGTCCTCAAGCCTCATGCACTGCAAAACACCAAAACTTCATAAGCATTAACTAAAAGTGCATTAAAAGATGAGCTAAAGTCTTATGTAATTGGTATCAAATATGCCGAAATTCTATGGCACATCAATTGTTATACCAAGATGGTGACGTTAACTATGCCAGGTCTATCGCGACTAGAGTGGAGAGGTACCTTGGATCATGTTCCTAGCAGAGTTGTTTCATTTCTTAAAGCTCAACGAATGGTTGAGAAGGGGTGTGATGCGTATCTGGATTATGTGAGGGATGTTAGTATTGATACTCCTACCGTGGAGTCAGTTCCTGTAGTAAGGGATTTTCCTGATGTATTTCCAGCGGATCTTCCGGGTATGCCACCCGACATGGATATTGACTTTGGCATTGATTTGTTACCGGGCACTCAGCCCATTTCTATTCCACCATATCGTATGAACCTAGTAGAGTTGAAAGAATTAAAAGAATAGTTACAGGAGTTACTTGATAAGGGCTTCATTCGGCCCAGTGTATCGCCTTCGGGTGCTCCTGTCTTATTTTTGAAGAAGAAGGATGGTTCTATGCGAATTTATATTGATTACCGCCAGTTGAACAAGGTTACAGTGAAGAACAAGTATCCATTGCCACGTATTGATGACCTATTTGATCAGCTTCAGGGTGCTAGGGTATTCTCTAAAATTGACTTGCGTTCAGGCTATCATCAGTTGAAGATTCGTGAACCCGATATTCCGAAAACTGCTTTTAGGACGCGGTATGGTCATTATGAGTTCCTTGTAATGTCATTTGGGCTAACCAACGCCCCAGTAACATTTATGCACTTAATGAATAGTGTATTTCAGCCCTATCTTGATTCTTTCATCACTGTATTTAGTGACGACATTCTGGTGTATTCCCAGAGTCGGGAAGATTATGAGAAGCACCTGAGGACTGTTCTTCAGACTTTGAGAGAAAAGAAGTTATATGCAAAATTTTCATAGTGTGAATTTTGGCTTGATTCAGTGGGATTTTTGGGTCATATAGTTTCGTGCGAAGGGATCAAGGTAGATCCAAAGAAGATTGAGGCAGTGCAAAGTTAGTCCAGACCGTCCTCAGCTACGAAGATCCAGAGTTTTCTTGGTTTGGTAGGGTATTATCGCCGATTTCTAGAGGGTTTCTCTTCTATTGTTGCACCTATGACCAAACTTACCCAGAAGGGTGCTCCGTTCAAGTGGACCGCGGAATGTGAGGAGAGCTTCCAAAAGCTCAAGACAGCTTGGACTACAACCCTAGTATTGGAATTGCCTACAGGTTCAGGGTCGTATACTGTGTATTGTGATGCGTCGCGTATTGGTCTCGGCGCATCGTTGATGCAAGATAGTAGGGTGATTGCCTACGCATCTAGACAGTTAAAGGTACATGAGAAGAATTATCCGGTCCACGACCTTGAGTTAGCAGTTATTGTTCATGCCTTGAAGATTTGTCGGCATTATTTGTACGGTGTCCATTGTGAGATCTACACCGATCACCGGAGTCTACATCAGCTGTTTAAACAGAAGGATCTTAATTTGCGACAGCGGAGATGGTTGGAGTTGCTTAAGGATTATTATATCACCATTCTCTATCATCCCGGGAAGGCCAATGTAGTGGTCGATGCCTTGAGTCATAAGGCGGAGAGTTTGGGCAGCTTAGCATATTTACCGGTAGTAGAGAGGCCTTTAGCCTTGGATGTTCAGGCCTTGGCCAACCAGTTTGTTAGATTGGATGTTTCCGAGCCGAGCCGAGTTTTAGCTTGTGTGGTTTCTCAGTCTTATCTTTATGATTTTATCAGGGAGTGTCAGTATGATGAACCCCATCTGCTTGTCCTTAAGGACAAAGTTCTGTACAGTGATGCCAAGGAAGTCACTATTGGAGATGATAATGTATTACGAATGCAGGGCAGGCTATGTGTGCCTAATGTAGATGGTTTGCGTTAGTTGATTTTCAAGGAGGCTCATAGTTCGCGGTAGTCCATTCATCCGGGTGCTGCAAAGATGTATCAGGACTTGAAACAACACTATTGGTGGAGGCGGATGAAGAAAGACATAGTAGAATATATAGCTCGGTGCCTAAATTGCTAGCAGGTGAAATATGAGCATCAACGACCGGGTGGATTTCTTCAGAAGTTAGAGATTCCAGAATGAAAATGGGAGCGGATCACTATGGATTTCGTTGTTGGACTCCCATGGACTCAGAGGAAGTTTGATGCAGTTTGGGTGATTGTGGATAGGTTGACCAAGTCAGCTCATTCCATTCCTATAGTTACTACTTACTCTTCGGAACATCTGGCTCAGGTCTATATTCGCAAGATTGTCAGACTTCATGGCGTACCGGTATCTATCATCTCTGACCGGGGTACACAGTTTACATCACGGTTCTAGAGGGCTGTACAGCGAGAATTGGATACTCGTGTGGAGTTGAGTACAACATTTCACCCTCAGATGGACAGACAGTTCGAGCACACTATCCAGATACCGGAGGATATGCTTCGTGCGTGTGTGATAGATTTTGGGGGTGCTTGGGATCAGTTCTTGCCACTTGTGGAGTTTGCTTACAAGAACAGCTGCCAGTCAAGCATTCAGATGGCTCCGTATGAGGCCTTGTATGGTAGGCGGTGCCGGTCTCTAGTGGGTTGGTTCGAACCGGGCGAGGCTAGGCTATTGGGTACAGACTTGGTTCAGGATGCCTTTGAAAAGGTTAAATTGATTCAGGATCGAATTCATACAGCCCAATCTAGACAGAAGAGTTATGAGGATCGGAAGGTTCGTGATGTTGCATTCATGGTTGGTGAGCGGTTCTTGCTCCGGGTTTCGCCTATGAAGGGTGGTATGAGGTTTGAGAAGAAGGGCAAGTTGAGCCCTAGGTATATTGAGCCTTTTGAGATTCTTGAGAGAGTTAGAGAGGTGGCTTACAGACTTGTACTACCACCTATCCTCTCTGTAGTTCATCCGGTATTCCATGTTTCTATGCTCCGGAAGTATCACGGCAATCTGTCTCATGTGTTAGACTTCAGTTCAGTTCAGTTGGACAAGGATCTATCTTATGTTGAGGAACCAATGGCTATTTTGGACATGCAGGTTCGAAGGCTGAGGCCAAAGAACATTGCTTCCGTGAAGGTTCAGTGGAGGGGTCATCCGGTCGAGGAGGCGACTTGGGAGACCGAGCAGGATATGTGCAGCCATTATCCTCATCATTTCACCACTTCAGGTATGTCTCTATGCTCGTTCGAGGACGAACGATTGTTTTAAGAGGGGGAGGATGTAACGACCCGACCTGTCATTTTAAAAGTTGTAGCCCTATTCCCCTATTTACTGCTTATTCTATACTTTATAACTGTTATGTGACTTTCCAGGTAGTCGGTTCAGGTCCGATGAGGTTTTGGAATGAATTGGAACACTTAGTTCCAAGGTTTAAAGCTTAAGTTCAAATAGTGACCGGATGTCGACTATATGTAAATGACCTCGGAATAGAATTTTGATGATTCCAACAGCTCTGTATGGTAATTTTGGATTTAGGAGCGTGTCCAAAATTTTATTTGGAAGTCCGTAGTTAAATTAGGCTTGAAATGACTAAAATA